TGCTCTAGTCTATGACTTATTAATCTTGCTTTATTGTGTTTGGTTTTGGTTTTACTGCTAGGCTATGGGGAGCCGGGGGGAGAAGTGAGTAGTACAGAGGATGTAATGTTTCTTTCCTGTGCTGAGCACCAAATACTGCTCAAGTATTCCTGAAAGCTACAGCCTTCAGCTACAGCTGCACCAGAGAAGTCTCCAACGAGCCAAGAAAATTGGCCATATACTTGAGATCCCTTCAGAGTTATTAAATTTGATCAAGCTTCTTTATAAATGGTTTCCATCCAGCCAAGATGCAAATAGTCTCTGCCTGAGCTGCCTCTGTAAATCCAGCTGTTTGTGCAGCTCCTCAGTTGCTGGTGAGACCTTCTGATTTGTAGCGCTTATAGGTGAAGGTGAGTGTTGTAAGCCAGGAAGAACAAGGGCAGATTAGATAAAGTTACAGTCACAAATGCCTGATTTTCTCCATTTTGAGTTGTGTGCTGGAGATGATGTTTACAGTGAGAGATGTCTGCAGTGTTGATTATACACTGACGGAACATTAATACCTCGTAACTCTGCCGGGCACTGAACTCATGCAGAAATAGCTGAGGATAAACATGCTTCATCCTGAAACTGTCTCTACTAACAGAGAGCTCCTGCCTGCGGCAGGCAGTTGTCATTGAATCTCTGCGAGAATAATGTAAATTGGAAGGTATCTCTGCAGGGCACCAAATCTGACACCCTGTGCAGGGCAGGAACCACTCAGAGAAGGCTGCTCAGGGCAGTGAAACTCTTGACACAGTACCTGCTGGAGACACCGAAGGAATTTCCTCAACTCCAGTTGATGTTACCTGGGGGCCACAGTTCCTCTTTGTGTTGCTGATACATTATCCTTCTGACCGAGCATGGCAAAACATGAAATGCTCATGAGGAGAAAAGATGTTTGTGGCGCAGCCTGCGATGGGGAGGCAAAGGACGTGCTGCACTTCTGAACGCCACAGCCATTGCTGCACCGTACCTGAGCAGCTGTGAGAGTGCAAGGTTGTGGGACGGAGCCATCAGAGCAGCAGCGCCACAGAACGGCTCCATGCAGTCAGTGTGCTAGATGTGCATCCGTCACCTCTGCATGCAAATGGCACAGTAATACTGGTGCTGCTGAAGAACTGGCAGCAATTAAGTAGTCATCTTTTCTCATCTACTTAATAGAAAAACAAGTGGTCTACGTACTATGATGAACGTGCTTTATGCCACTGGCTGACCAACCTCCTATCACTGCCTGCTGATGCATGGTACTTCTCCAGAGAAACTTTCAAGAGGGTTTGAATTGTTGATGGCTCAAAAAAAACATTTTAAAAAATCTGCCTTTGACTAAGTAGTCTCGCTATAAGTGGTTTTAAATCTCTCAGGAAGCGCATCTCCCAAGCTTGAGTATTAATGAGTGCATTTAAAGGCTTTAAATTGACTACAGGTTGATAGGTTCATGAAGACCTTTCAGCAGAAAGTATCTCCTTCCAAAACCAGGAGACATTAAAGTGAGATACAAAGTTACATTGCTGTAAATGACGAGAAACCTGAATTCAACTGATCCCAAATCACATACTAAAGAAGCCTGTAAGAGAGACTTTGTTCAAAAAGAAAGGGAAATAAATGGCTTATTTGCCTGACTTTTTATCACTGGACCTGGGCAGGGATCATCCTCCTATTTACTTGTTTGCCTCGTCCACTGTTCCCACTTCTCCCTCGTGATGTGAGCGCTCCCCTTCTCTTGGGAAGGAGTTGTCAGCTGCTGTGTGTGTGCACAGCATCTCATGAAGTGGACTAAGCCCCTAAAGGCCACCAAAATAGGAAAGAGTTCACAGAGTGATACCAGCCACCCCAAATGCTAACAACTCTGGGATTGTCCAGAATCATAGAATCATAGAAGAGTTTGGGTGGTAAAGATCCTCTAGTCCAAGCTGCCTGCAATAAGCAGGGAGATCTTCAACGAGATCAGGTTGCTCAGAGCCTTGTCCAGCCTGACCTTGAATGTTTCCAGGGATGGGGCATCTACCACCTCTCTGGCACCTCTCTGGGAAATCAGGTGCTTCGATCAGTTAAATTTGCTGGAATTCATCTCATCCTAATGCAGATATTTTAAACAAGTCAGAAGAATCATGCTCCAAAAATGCCTCTTCACTTACTTGCAAGGGAATATTAAGAAGACTACCTGTGATGAGATGCATGTGTGGACTGCACTGAAGCCAAATCCTATTCGTATGAGGATTACTATAAAAGTAGACATACAGGAAAGGAAGAATTGCTCTGAATTTACCAACTTCCACTTAAACAACACAGACACTTACTGAGCCATCATCATTACCAGGCAGGGAAAGCCACCACATCTTCCCTAGGGCCCACCTCACCTACTTTTGGATATGTCCAGTGTAGCAGTCCACATTTGAGCTAGTGACGCTGAGTTCCCCTTATACTCAACAGGAAGACATAAGCATGCTCAGAGTGCAGTGTATTTCACCTCCTTGAAATACCTGCCTTACGATGAAACAAATGATGCCCCCAAAGAACCTGCTTCTCTTCACTGGCCATCCACTTTTCCTCTGCAGCATCGATAGGGAACTGGCTTCTGGAGCTGCCTAAGAGCAGATGAACCTCAGAACATCCCCCTTTGCTCTCTGCGAGGACGATGACAATGCTGGGAATGTCTCAAAGCAACCCCCAGGTTTCTCTCTATGTTAGGAGGGAAGGAGGTTTCAGCCTAAAAGGCAAGGAAGAACCTAGAATGAAGGACAGAGCTAGATCCTGGACAGGAGAGGAGATTTTCTCTGTCCTTAGCTGCTAAGAAAGCAAAGGGATAAGCAACATGAAAAGCACAGAGAAATTACTGAAGAAAGGGTGCAATAAACAAGCTAAAACCCATGTTACCAGTACCTCAGTACAGTGAAACTGATGACAGAGGGAGCTGAGGAAAATGTCTTTTTCCAAACTGATCTTTCTCAAGTCTGCTAAACAGTAAATGGAACGTCTGGAATTTCTGTGTAACATTATTATTGGATTTCATTGCTACAGGAGACTGTAAAGCTTTTCCTATCCCACAGTGACATGGCTGATGTCAAATGGTGACAGAACGGGGTTCTTCACATTTACAAATTTCCTATACGACTTGCTATTACTGCTCAAACTTAACAAAAATTTATCCTTCTGTGCTCTACTAATTCTTCAGGCAGCTGAAGATGCATTCAAATGAAGTAACCTTGCTAGTTTACTGATTCTTCTGCTCTGTCGCAATTACCACCCCGCAATAGGTACTACACAGCATCTAAAACACATGGAAAGTCTTTCCAGTGAATGTTATTTGAATTGCATATGTGATGTAGCTGAAGATTTCAGGCATCCTCTTCTAATTATGCAGGAAAATTTTTAGCACCAGATATTTTGTGAGAAGAAAAGAAACATTCTGTAAAACTTTTTTTTTTTACTTGGGATACTTCTGGTGTGTTCTAAGCAGGAAGGAGATTGGAGAAGTTATCACTCTTTCTCACCCTTAAAGCAAAACAATTTTCAGTGGACTGTTACGCCTGGAAAGAAATAATCCTCCACCTTTTCAGCAAGGTAATGACCATCAAAATGTACTAAGAGTTTCACCTGCCTCCTCAGAAAAGGTTACCAAGTGAACAGCATTTTGTAAGGTTGGCTCTGTGGATGAGAATATGGGCAACAGGTTTCCCTGCCTACAGAAGGACCCCAGACAAGACACAGATTCACTTTTCGCTTGTTCGTGGCTTACACTTCCTCACCATCCTCTGGCAAAAGCACTGCAAATGATGAAGCCTGTATCTAAGGTGAGAAACCATCCATGGGGATGTACGAAGTGACCGGCAGGGAAGCCCCCTCTGTCAAACCCGAGCGTCGCAGTCACATTGCGAGGACCGGTCCAGTGCAGGGGATGGACGTGGCTGACTCCCACCTCCTTCTCTTTGCATCCCGTGAGCGTGGGGCTTCCTGTTTCCAGTACAGAGACCATGCCAAGAAGAATGATAAAGTAATTATTCGGTTCTTCAATCCACACTTCATTTCCCTTTTTTGAATCACAGTTCAAGTCCCTTTTAGACGTACCCTTGATATCAGCACAGTAGCCTAACTACAGACAGTCCTAACTTTAAAACAAACTACATCAATACTGTATAATAGATAGGATTCAGTTTACATGCCAGATACATATGCAAGTATGTATGTACTTTGCAAAAAAGCACTGGAAGTTAATTAGTTTTTAACATATATTTCTAATTCTCTTTTTTTTTTTTCTTAGGAGCTTGTTGCTTTTCAGTGCAGCAGTACCATACACTACCGTGTTAACAGTATCAGACTACTCGGATGTGTCCAGAATGCTCTGATAAGGCTCCAGTGCTGAACGCGTCCCGAGGGCTCTCTCCTCCTGCCAAATCCTAGGGGAGACAGTGGTGCCTCAGCTCCTCAGAGGATCTGTTGTCCCATCACTCTTTGCAGTAGGGAGACAGACTGGAATTGCAGTTTAGTCCTTCAGTTCACTGGATGAAAGTCATCTCTATGCATAAGTCCTGTGCACCACCTAAGGTCCTCTTTTAGACCTGAAATTAGGATGTAAAATGGATAGAAACGGTGCAGAGATCTGACTTTGGTTGCCTGCAGAGGGGTGAATTTCACCTACTAGGAACAGCTACAGCCAGGTTTCTGAATCCATGTGGAAGTGCTGACAATTCGCACCGTTTACTGGCTTGGCTGGGGAATGAAGATGCTCACAGGAAATGTTTGACACTTTTGCAGGAATTTGGCTTATTTTGTACTAGAGAACAGATACGCTATACCTGAATTTCTAAACTTATTATACTGGCATCAGAGTAACTAGAAACCACAAAAACGTAGCATGGAAAAAAAAAAGGGAGACTATGTATAGATATATTTACATCTACATACATCTACATATAGAAGCTTCTGTTCACTGGAAATCCTGTAAGCCACTGCCTGCAATAGCATCCATCCTAAGGGAATTCTAGAGATGATTCTTAAGAGACTGAGGAGATGGGGTTATGAGGTGAGCCCATCTGTGTCAACACCTTATCCAGCCATTGCAATGGTCCATGAAGGTGGATCTCGATCCAGCAGGGCGTGCTTGTAACATCTTGGCGATGATACTCTGCTCCCCAGCCCTATAAAAACATCAAAGGACCAAAAAGTGAGGTTTTCTTTAAAATAAAAAACCAATATTAAATCACAACTCCAGTGCTAAGAGTCTAACACAACTACAGGCAGTCCATCACCCAAGCTCCCAAGACTGAATGCGCTTCCCTAGGGATAATTTTCTCTAGAAGCTTTGCTCCTTTTTAAGGTCATTGTTATCACAGTTGCCAGGGTCTCTATACTATTAAATTAAAAATGCTCAGTCACACTTCCAGGGTGCTGAGACCAACTGGCATGGAAAGGCCTGTTTCCAAGCTTGGCTGCCTGCAAACAGCCCATGGGGAACGGTCCCTGCTGTTCGCACCCCAGAGACGTGCGCAGGAAAGTCTGCCAGACTGCTGTCTGGCACAGAGGAAAAGCAGGCCAGGCCCTGTCATAACACTTTAACGGGAACTGGGAATGATCCTGGGCACTGTTTCACTTCTTGGTAGAGACGCATCCTACGAGTCTGAGAAGTTCTAGGTATTTATCTGAACTTCTGGAAACTTCCAGCAAGTTTCCTATGTACCATACCTAACCTATGTATAGACATTTTCCATAGGTTTTCTATCCTTGAACATGTCCTCTTTTCCCATGGGAGTTCCTGCTTGTCTGCTGTGGGAAGTCCTGTAGTAACTTCTCCAGCTTTTTCAGGGAGATAAGAGACATGGAGCCTCTGACAGAAGATGGGGATGCAGTTTTGACAGGGAGAAAAGAGAACCAGAAGTCCCTGCGCCTCAAGCGGGCACAGCATCTGCTTGTTAAGGCAGACACTGATTTCACAGCACCACAAGACATCCAAGTCACAGCCCAAAGTCTCACAGCTAACCGGCTGTCTCACTGCCAGAACTGAACTCGGATTTCCATAGGGCAATGTGCAAAACGCGGTCCCACTGCAGGATGAGGTTCTTCATTTGTGGGCTGCTGATCAGAGAAGCTGAACCTTCCCTATCATTACACTACTCAGGCAGGTGATATTGTTGTCACGAAGAAAAGGACATGGAGGTATATTAAAATTGATGCCTGCCAAAGGTACATAAATTGTGGAGCACTGAACAATTCAGGCAACTGAGGCTGCTAGAACCCACTTCTCTAGAACGATCAGCTGCAAACCCAGGATCAACACCAAAACTAAATGCCATAATAAGTGGTCTGGATAAAATCTACTTCTACTTAATGAAGAAAAGCATCAAGAAAGCAGAAGAGTAAGATATGGACCCACCGAAGCCCAAAGAGTACTTTCAATCAGGCAGCATTTTTCTGACCTGCAGAGCATGTATCAGGCTGGGAAGGGCCTGTGTTCACAGGCACCTCGGATTTATGTTCTGGAAACGTTTGCATAAAATGCCACTCTCTAAACCAGCACAGTCAGGCTTGAGTTTGTGAAGTCTTAAGTACTCTGCTGCAGTGAAGATACACAGCCAGAAAGGCAGGTGTCAGAGGGGTCGGTGCATCTCTGCTGACTGGCAGGACGCAAAAGCCGCAGAGGGGTTGGACTAGATTGATCTCCAGAGGTCCCTTCCAACCCTGACCATTCTGTGAATCTGTGAATAGGAATGCCAAGTTGCAGATGCAACCTGCTCGATTTGGAGGAGTGTGGGAGTGCACGTCGGTGGTTGGCCATCTCCCTCTGCTGGCAACTCCCAGGCACTCACAGTCACCTTCCCCAGCCCATGCTGGCGGCTGGAGCTGCCAGCAGGGAAAATGCTAAGAGGGCAGGACCCCCTGTGCCTCCCGTACATCACTCCTGAGCCACAGGTAGCCTCCTTCATCCCTGGGGCTGAAATGAACTGGGAGGTGGAGTGCTCTTAACGAGGGAATAAAATGAACAAACTTGCAAACAACTTGCAAAGCTGTTGGTGGTGTTTTGCGCTGATGGTGGGAAGAGGACACCGATACCCGCCACAGGGAGACGTCCCCTTTGGCACGGGGAAGATCAGCCGAGGGGTTCTGCTGCTCCTGCCAGCCCTTCCCACCTCCTGTGGGCAACAGCTCTCTCCAGACCAGGGTCCAGGCATGTCCCAGAGCGCTGAGCTGCCTCGTGCTGGAGAGCACAGCCAAGTCTGCTGGCTTGTCCCCTTAGCCCCGAGACCCGGGGAAATATGGGAGGGAGGGTGCTGGGTTCAGACCCTGGCTTGGAGAAACTCTTTGTCTCTCCACTTTGTGCTTCAGCTGCCTCATCTGTGGAGAGGGGACAACAGCCATCCTGTTTTGGTTATCAGCAGCACGAAGCGTATGGCAACTGCTGTCTGCTCTCACTGGTGATACACTCACATTTGCCTGAGGGTTGAGCTCCTGCCAGCTGCTCAGTGGGCACACAAAGGGTACCAGAGAGGACAGGCCCTTCACCTCCCCATCCCATATCCTGCCTCCAGATGATGGTACAGTCCTGGGTAAGCCTCTCATGTTGTGGTCCCTACCCATCCCTGCCTCCCAGCTCAAGCACTGGAGGGGTAGAGGCAGGGTCTCCAGCCCTTTGGCTCGGCTTGCCCTGTGGGTGGTAGGTGACCATCAGCATCTGGTCAGGAATGAGGGGAGAAGCCACAGGGCTGCCCTGCCCCTGGGCCCTCCTGGTGTGTGGCTCTGACAGACAACACACTCCTCTGTGCACTGCACACCCAACACCCAGCGGCATTC